GAACGGTACGCCACCCTAACCTCATCGACCGACACCCGTCTGCGTTGTTGCTGTACTCGCACGACCGACTCGCCGAACGGACCGGGCGACCTTTTGTTCTTGCGAAACGACGACAGCTCTGCCGCTGCGATCAGACGCGGATGTTTCTCTCGGAGGACGGACGCGTGCACGATCGCTCGCGATCGCCTAGCATAGCGAGAAGTCGCGGTCGATGCGCGGATGCCAGCGTTGCCTCGCGGGGGCCTCGATGGATCCAGCTACGAGATGCTCGATCGTTTCGCGTTTCCCTTCGAAGTCTTCGAAATCCTCGAAATCTCGGGACAGAATCGCGTGCGATCTGGAGGACGAGCGAACAAACACCGGGGACGCGCATTAGCCGTGGCTTGAGACTGACTGGCCGTGGCGGCCACGGTGGGGACGACTTATACGCCTCTGTACTTCGCGACTTTTTTTCCTGGCACTCTCGTGCGCGCGCTTCCGACATCGACCAATACCTGCGCCCGCGCTTACGGACACATAATCGCGATCGGAGAGACCAACCATGTGCGAACGGTCTTTGATTTTTCGGTGAAAATAAATCGTTCGTCGTACGTACAATTTCACGCGTAATTAATTACCGAATAGACGGGACACGAGTTTCTTCTTTACCAGCCGGCTGATTTAACTTTCAAAGTGATGCGTGCACTTGAACTGGATACATATTTCCCAGTTTCATTTCGACGTCACGCGATCGCGCGTATCGGCGAATGAGAAATTTACAACCGAGAATTTATCGCGTGCGTTCCGATATGTACCTGCAACCTTTAAATCGTAGTCCGGCAGAAAGAGTGTCGCGAATTACGATTCATACGTGTAATTAGGTCACTCGAGTATGTCTGCTGTGCGAAACGTTTGCATTCGTGTGTCGAGTCGTCGGAAGAATTCCTTTTCCCGCGTAAGATCGAACCGATTTCGCATCGAAGCGCGAGCACTGTACGCATCGGCTCTGCATCGAACTTAAATTGAGTTTAATTCTCTCTGAAATGCACCGAAATGCACCGAAAATAGTTTCCAAGGATACCGGTAATAACTAACCGGAACAGCTGATTTAACCTCCCATGGCGACATCTAGTCGACTCTGATTTCACGAACGAACCACGCACATTCGCTCTTCTCGTCGAGTAATGTTCGAACGTTAATCCTGGAATATCCGAACACTGCTCTCGGCCTCCTCGCGATAATTCTGCTAACGGAATTAACACCACGGTACACGAGTTCGGAAATGTCGAAATTAGTCGGAGTCGATTTCGAAGTATTCGGCAGAGTGCAAGGTAAGTGATCGTGTTTCTTCGTTGCTCTTAATGCTCTCGATTAATGATCCTAATCACCCGTCTTATTATTCGAAGGTGTCTTCTTTAGAAAGGTAAGTAGTACAATTGTTCAATTCCGAATACGTTAATAACGCAACGAGAAAATCAGTCGCGAGATGTTTGAGGTTCTGAAACGAAAGCGACATCTAACGAAAGTGGGCGGAACTTAATGATTAACTCACTGTCGGTACATAACCTACAATAGAACACTGCGTTGTCGATCGAAGAATTTGTCGAAACCTAAATTCGTTAGATTCTGCGAGACTAATGAAATCCGTCTTAAATCGTTAATCGTTTGTTAATGAATTCAGTATACCCAAAAACGTGGCAAAGAATTAGGTTTAAAAGGATGGTGCATGAACACGAGTCAGGGCACCGTTGTCGGTCGTCTCGAGGGGGAAAAGGAAAAAGTTGAGGAGATGTGAGTATTACCCGGCGTCGGTTACGTAAACTACCACACGCAAACGGGACACCAAACTAATTTCCGTTTTAGGAAGAATTGGTTGCGCTACACCGGAAGTCCTCAGTCGGCCATAGACAAGGCGGAGTTCCGAGGCGAGAAGGAGATATCTCAGGCTTCGTTCTCCGACTTTGACATTAAGAAATAGATATTTATTCGAGGATTATTTATCAACTAGGTTTTCCAGCGACGCAACATGTATTTATAAATCTTGGTTACAATAAAAGCTGTTCCACGTTCAGATCGAGATTTATACCGAGCAACTATGCTATGCGATCAATTTCGAATTCCCGTTATTCGATTATCTTGAAACTTTCCCCGGAGTGTGCGATCCGAAATGTCGAGCGATCGAATCTCGGCCTTTGCGCGTAAGGCCGAATAGATTATCCGCGAAGACGAATCTATTTGACCAGCTATGCGAATTTCAGAGGAGCGAACGTTGGAAGTTCACCGAATACGTTCGAGCGGATTCAATGGAGCCTCGTTTCTACTCGAAGAAATGAAAGGCTGTACCCGAATGACACCGTTCCACACCCTGGAATCCGCAGAATGCAAAACAGAAAAGAAACGGCGACTGGATAATGGCCGTTGCCATTTTTGAACGAGCCTGTAGGTCTCGGAACGGCAGTCCTAAACGGACGACGTCGTCGGCTACCTAATTAATTCTTCGTCGAACCGAGTGACAAGCGTTACGCGGATAGGTATGAGCGGACAGCGTCGAAGGCGTTCGTACAGGCGAGTTCTGCAGCAATCCGTCCAACCTTCATTAGTTGTTGACCGCGCACCGTCGCGTACGCTTCAAAACTTTCGCCTAGCGATCAGTCGCATCGACGCGACCTGCACCTGCGGGTCGGTCGGGCTCGACAGGAGCTGTTTTCCATTTGTCGTTTACTATTTATCGTTTCTCCGTTTATCTTCCATTTCACTAATTATCACAGTCGATATCCTCTCTGTTCCGCGGCTAAACCAGTGAAAGCTTTCCAGCATTCTCGAGGAAGTGAGGTCGTCGGCTGCGAAACAGCTTCGATAACGAAACCATGATAAGACGAACGGTCTGACCGCATCGGATTTTCGAAAGAAATCAAAGGAAGAAGAGGACAGACGTTCGATCGGATGGTCTCGGCGATGATTCGGTGAGCGACATTGCAAGACCGCCGCCAGTATGAGGTGCTTCAAGAGTTTCTTTCAGCACACGTGGCATCCGCAACAGGTAATTTCCCTTGTACGCGACTGAACAAAAGCGTATGACCGACGACTCTCGCAACGGTTACGGTTTAACAGAGTTACACTGGGAGGAAGTTTCGCGCTCGTCTTCCATGTCCGTAGACTTTTACGCGTGCAAGCTCCCGTGGCTGGTGCACTATCTCGAAGCATATTTGTATCGACCTTGTGTACGCGCGATAGACAATCCTTCCCTCTGTTCGAAGGAACAGAAGAGTAAAGAGCATTTGTTCAATCGTTTTCGCGCGACTCCTCCGCGGAACGTATCTCCACCGCAACGAAGAAGGTCGCTACACTCCGTTCATTAATATCTTCCGCGTATCGCGTTACTCCGACGACACGTCGGTGCATAGTCATCCGTATCGGTAGCCTCGACGGCCTCTGGAAAGGCAACAACTTTCGTTCGTCGAGGATGCGACGATACTTTCACCGCTCAGCTGAGATAGGGTTTCTAATCGGTTCCACCGTCTCCGAAAACGAGAAGGGAACCGACGAAAAACAGAATCGCCCATCGTCGGCAGACTTCAACCGATTCGCGGTGTCGCGCGGCTCTTCGCCAGGTTAAATTTCGTCGCGATCGACGAGCGTCCTTCCGTTCCTCTCGCGGTTTGTCTCCTGCCATGGACGGTCAACGTTAGAGCGACGAGAAACATGAGCCTCGCCAGATTACGCAAGGTATCCTTTAACTATCGTTGCGGAGAGCAGTCGGTCGCATCCTTGAGACCCGTTGCGCCAGCGCATCTGCACGCATCACGGTTACATCATACGGACTGAAACCGCATCTACAAAATTCCTGGCATTTCGATTTCAGAGCTGTACACCTCGGAAGACCAGTTTGGTCGAGGAGGCGTCGAGTCGATTAGATTGATCATTCCCAGCGATCGCGAGGTGCGAAGCGTTCGACGGGCCGACGAGTTTCGAATAGTTTTCGAGCGGTTCGTCGGAGACGAACGAAAGATCGATCGCGAGATCCGGCGCGGACGAGCGGAAGATCAGCTCAATCTCGGTTAGCCGAGCGCGTTCCACGCTGCGACGACTCGATTCATGCGTTCGCGTTCTCGTGACGCTGCGATTGACGAGCCGGAGCTCCTCCCGGGAGGATTAGAGCGTGAGCGATGTACGCGGCGGCAGCGATTCGATAACGAAAGATCAGGGGTCGGGGATGATAAAGTTCGAGATAATGGGCCCTACTCGGCGTAACTGGTCAGTTCCTATGGTACCGCGCACGGGCGAACCACGACCTTTCTACCGTGATGTAGGTTTTCTCGCGTCTTCACCTCGCCGAATCGTGGCACGATCCTCGAGTTGCAATACCGGCCTCGATCGCGATGGCTAGTTCGATCGAGCAGTGAAGCGAGCCTGTTCCCGCGGTCCCGGGACAAGTTGAGCGTCCGTTTCGAACGGTCGCGCGAAACGAACAGAATTCCATGGTTTTCCGAGTGAAAGTGACCGCGCTACCGTTCGATTAGGATAAGAGGCTGCTCGGGAAAGCCGGCGTGCTTCCAGCAGAGGGTTCACCGGCGAAACATGAGACTTCGCGAAAAGACCAACGGAATACCAGCGACGAAGCCAGTACCACGGGGAAACATGGATATTCGCGTGCAATAACGTGAGTCGCCTTTTTGGACGAAACTTTTCCGATGCGGAAATTACGCGTCGCGTCGGAGCCGGCACGAGCGAGTCTCGCGATCGAGCAGGCCGGAGAGTTCATGAATCATTGACCCGTTCAATTTCCGAGGCGACCTTCTCCGCGCGACCCATGACACGAGTCGTATCTCCCGAATCCGCTGCAGCGAAGATCGCTCGATCTTTCGTTGGGAAACGAACGTTTCCCCGTCTACGGTCCGATCCGCGCGGATCGTGTTCGAAGCCGCTCGAAACCGATACGTCTGAGGGTACGATATCGTTCGCAGATGGTGATTATGGCATCGACCGACTCCATATGGGACTACCCGTACCCGAGCCAAGCGAGCAGCGTGATGGGCTTGGTTTACGGAACCGGACCAGAACCCGAACCAGACTATTTCCCTCCCAAGAGTCGGATTCCAGAAGCTCGCGTAACGTATCCGTTCCTTTCACCTCCCGAAAGTTCACCGCGTCGGTATATCGCTATTCGAAATTTCCTCGCGAAAGCGGCACGGTCGAGGATCCGAGGTGTGCATCGGCGCGCGTAATGTACTTCGCGTGTCGCAGCTGCGCGCTCGACCTGTCGAGCATTCCGTTCACGTGCATCGCCATAAACGGATCCCACAAATCTCAGCATGGCATCGTTTCGCTCGAAGATTCGGAACAGGTACGACCGACGCGGTGCTTTTCTAACGCGCGGCTAACACCGCCTGGAAATTCGACGGGAAACGGAGGGAGACAGGAAACCGCGGTCCGGGTCGAGCAGTCCGTCGCGAAAACCGCATCGCGCGGATACGCTCTTCCTTATCAATGCTATTTTCGACTTCGGGAACACTCGACGTCCTCGAATGTTTGAGCGTTTAATCGGTTCGATCGAACGGCCGAATCTCGTCCGATCGAGTCTTCCTGCCCGCGAGTCGGAAACGCGACGACGACGACGACGACGATTCCGACGTTCTCTCGAGGAAACCGGTAACCCGGGAGCGAATACCATCGAAATCCAACGAACGGCCGACCAGCAAACAAATCCTTATCTGTGTTTTGACTCGTCGTAACGATCCGAGCGTGAATAACAGAGTCGCGAACCAACACCGACCGATAAGTGTAGTCGGCCGGCTACGCGTTCCCCGATTGTTAGGCGGCGGCGGTGACGGCGGGAGACCGGAAAGACTCATTGCTCCTAACGAATTTGTAGATGGAGAGCCTGTCGAGGTTCGAGCTGACGAAGACGGAGTCGAGGAGCGTGGACGAGACCGAGCTGGCCGAAGTGAGGACGACCCTGCCGACCAACAATGCGGCCACCTCGACGCCCCAGCAACCCGGCGGCGTCCCCTGCAGGAACAACGGATGCAAAAGCTGGTCGAGCCGCTCGGAGTCGCGGCTGGAGAGCCCGTGGCACTTCCTCAAGACCGTCTTCCTCGTCTCGGTGATCGTGGCGCTGGTCCTTTGGGTGATCGTCTACGCGTCCCTCTCGCAGTATCGAGTCCTGTGACGCCGGGACCACCGGCATCCGGAACTCTTTCGATCGACCTCGGACACCCTACGACCCGAACGTTCGAGTTCTCTCCGTTGCGAATCGATTCGGAAACTTTTTCGTGAATTTCCCCGTGAAATACTTCACCGGACTCAGGACGCATCGTTCGTATTTTCTTGTTTCAACGCGATTCGAGTTGTCTCGGGACGCCAAGTGGAATCTGTTTTTTGTTCTGTTCGCACTGTAGAGGATTCACGATCCACGGATGGGGAGTTGATTGCTCGAACGAACGATAGAACGATAAGAGAAACGTAAGATGCTCGTATATGAAGGAGGATCGCGAATAAAACCTGTCCGAGATCGGTGATATTTCCACTTCCGATCCCCGCTCGCTTCGCGCCAAGGCTGAGAGTATACAGTGTAGCGCTCGAGATTGAAAATACACGGCTCTGGAAGTCGTAAGAAGAAATTTTATGGGATCTGAAAGTAATAGTTGTCCGACAACCGGCCCGTGCGGTCGCGAAAATTACGTAACGCCAGGTACGTTTCGTCACGACTATTCGCGCGATTATTCCGAGTGACCGCGAGTCGCTGACGTAACTACGCGTAGAAAATCCCGAGGCGTCGACGAGGAAATCCTTCGATTGTTCGCTAGAGAGAAGAGACAAGATAAAAATGTCTAAAGACGACCAGACGTTTCGATCTCTCGCGTCGGACGGAAAGTCCATCGTCGTAGGAGTGTCGCAACGATCCTTGTAAATAAATACATTTATCTACGAATAGTATTGCTAACTTTATAATCGACGGAAGAGTTTTCTATCAATCGTTTGTACATAACCGAATAAATTGTAAAAATCCAGAGACCGCTTTTCCAAACATCGTTCTTCCATTAAACAACAGATAACGTCGAGTCGCTCTCTTATCGCGACTACGTCGAGCGCGATTCGGAGCATCGTCCGTTCGAATTGCGAGCTTTTCTAACAATGAGATACGACTCGAGAGCGTCCAATCTACCGTCGAAATCGTCGGTTAAACGATGACGAATCGTGAAGTTAATCGGCGACGCGCGGGACCTTGAAGTGCGCCGAATGTTAACTGCGAATATATGACGCTCTGCGACCAATTCCCTTTCCTTCTGCATCGGAGATATCGAAGGGCAGCGATCGTTTGATAAACCAGAAGACTAAGCGTCGTTAACGAGGAACGAGTAACGAGGAACGCGGCCGTCTTTAGTTTCCCGAAATATCGGCCACGCGTCTCGTGACATCTGCGGGGCGCGTAGTTCTTTAAGATTGGCAGAGAACCGAACAGGCAAGACGAATATCAATCCTCTCGAGAATACTATGGATCTTTCTCTTCTCTACTATCTAATTCTTCCTCCATCTATTCCTTCTCTACAGCGCAAGAAGTAGAAGATACTCGTCGAAAGCATCAAGCGAAACGGCAAGCGGAAGCTGCGTTCCCTGGTAGATGTTTCGAAGGAAACACCGATCCGGCAATCTGAAGCAGGAAAGGGAGAAGATCACGCAGTACCTGCAGAGCTTCCTGTCTCGAGTACGAGATCCTGAGTACGGGGATCCCGGAAAAGGTAAGATCGCGGTACCAGTGTCTGCGTACCTCTGAACCGATTTCTTTGGTAATTTCGCAGAGGATCGCCTTTCCAATAATTGCGAAAAGAAACGAGGCATAGGTAATTGCGACTTGTCCGGTAGTTCCAGTGTCAAGCTAAATTTGATTCTGTGCAGGGGACGATGCCGCGGCGGAGGACGCAACGTTGAGCGGATCGACGAGCAGACGGATCACCGAAGATGCGAGGAATAAAGTGTTAGCTGCCGAGAGTACCAGCGCCGCCATTCGATTGTCCGCGTTGGACGTTCCTGGACCCTCGAGAGTCGAACCTAGCAAGAAGAAGTCGGACCCAGTCATGCGGAAGTCCACGCAGGACAAGTCTACGCAAATGTGGAAGAATCTGAGCACGCAGAAGCTCCAGGCGGACGAACAAGACGACGACGATGTAATTAACACGAGCCGCTAACGAGCTGCCTCGCGTTTCACCGACAAAGTGAAATCGAATCTTTGTTATGCGAACGCGCGACCCGACTGTTGCCCTGCCGTGCACCTCGCAACGTCTGTTACGACACGCGCGCAATCGTTTGGAACAGATTCGCTTTCCAATGCTCTCTCATTCATCGAATCGATCGACAAAGTATTAAAACTATGTATTGTAACATTCGAGAAATGGAAAATTCGAAAATCTGTCTGTCGATCGTTTCGATTCTCCAGAGGATCGACGAATAGAATCGTGGATCTTCCGCAGAGGTTTCAATCGACTTCCAATAAATCGTTTCCTTTCAGTCCGACCAGCAAGAATATCCTCAGAGGCCAAAGTACATTCTGGTAGGATGGGATCGTTTCCGTTCGAAACTGATGGTCCTACTGATAGTCCTGTTCCTTTTATGGGTAGCGATCTACTTCCCGTTGATTGGGAGCTGAAAGTCAATAGCGAAGATTAACTTTATCATTCGTCGAACGGAAACTGTATCGTAGAGTTCTCTCTCGAACTCTTCCGATCGTTGCGAAACGGTAACTTGTAAATATGTAAATAAGTCTTGGAAGAGCACAAAGATGTCACGCGCCGATCATTTTCGAATAAAGACGCCGTTCTGCTAATTATCTACTACCAATTGTGACACAGTGCGCCAAGTTCAATTACGACGCGATAACAACAACGTAACGTTGCCGATAACGAGTAACGGTAAAATTGGCGGACCAATGGTGTTCGATTCGAATGCAACGGAATAAAACGATGCAAAAGAGAATGTTCTCTAGAGAACCACATTGTACTCTTCACTTGAGAATCCCTCGATTCTGCCCTCCTGAATCTGAATAAAATCGATTACGATCGGACCCCTATGAGTCACGGTGCTTCCTTCCGTCTCCGTCCGACCGAGCCGTTGGAAAACAAAATATTTACCGTCGGTATCGCCGGGAAAGGAAGTTCGGCTGTTAACGAGGCGAGACGCGCGTCGAATTAACCGAGCATTACGAGCGAAAGGAACGATCGCGATCCACCTCCCACGAATCGAGTCCATGAATCCAAGATCGCCGGCTGACATCACTGTTCCGAGAAGATCGACGCGTAGTTTCGACCGCGCCGAGACCCGTGTGACCGTGCAAAGACCTTAGCCCGACCAGGGTCGCGAGCCGAGCGTGCCAATGGGAAACCGGCTGGCAGGAGGAAAGTCTGATCGCACCAGGCGGGGGTGATCCGAATCGAGCCGACCAGTGGAGGCTTCAGTTCTTCTTAACACGCTTACGTCGCGGCAACGCATTCTCCGTTCTATCGTCCGCCGTCTCCGATCGATACCGATCGGGCCTCGAACCGTCACTGAATCGTCGAATCGCTGCCACGGTTATGAAGACCCGCAGAGCGACCGTGTTCCTCGCGCTCCTAGCGTTCTCCTTGATCATTGGTAAGTGGACCGGTTTAACTTGTCAACTATTACGAACCTAACAACCCAAACACGAACCTCTTCCTTCGATTAGATTCGAATTGGAAGGCTTTCTCTTCTCGCGTTCAAAATTATTTTCCTTATTTACTCTAGCGCGAACTAAAAGCGACGCGTTTCTATTTTGCGACATCGCGGGAAAGGAAATCGTACCGTGGAAGTGAAAGGATGATTTCCTGTACGTCGTTCGGCCGTTAACTTCTGCCCGCTGGTTTTCTAGCTATTGACAGTCCTCGATTTACGGGTTTGGGAAAGCAGTATTCGAAGAATCGCGTAGAATATTGACGCACGAAGGCTATTTGCAAAGAGAACGCGCGTTATCTGCTCTAGAATGCTCGTACGTGATCCTCGATTCTAAACACTCCGCTGCAGATTCTCTTTTTCCGTGCATTATCAAGGTTATCGCGGGTTCACGCTCGCGCGTACGTTCTCCGGACGATTGGGAGAAGAGAGATTCTTCGAATTGCTCCGGATTTACGGTACGTTACAGCAGCAGCCGAGAGATGTTCGATCGCGATCGGTTGAATAAATTCCGTCACGATCAGACGTGTCTGCTGGAAGAACGAGGATCCGACAGCGTATCGCTCGACCCAATTACCAGACGTCCGAACAGGGCAAAACGAATAAAGAGAAGATTGTTTCTCATGTAAATTTCCATCAACGAAGTGTCCGTGGGTGGACCTTACTCTCTGCGTTCGCGATTTCTACGCGAAGCGATACGAAACGATAAATTCCGTCTAAAACTATTGGCAACGCTAGCGTTCCGACTGCTAAATTATCACCCAGATTTCGACTCGGCCCTAACACTGTCATCACTGTCTTGCAGCGGACGTCGAAGCAGGATGGAAATTCTGGAAGAAGAAGGACAAGGACAAAGACGCAACTACGACTACGACTACAGCAGCTCCTAGCACAGCGGCGCCGACTACCAGCAAACCGGCCGGCAAAGCAACCAGTGGTCCGAACACTTTGGGATCAGCTGTGATCGGCGCCGGTGACCCTGGCCTGGCGATCGGCGTCAGCTCGACCGGGCAGAACATCAGGAACAACGCAAGACCGAGCAAACCGAATCCCGGTACGGAAGTCGGCCTCGACATCGGGGGAGCGAAGCCGCCGAAACCTGGTACCGGAGGCAACACTGGCCAGGGTTACAGAGAATGGGCCGCCGATCTGACCGGCGCCGGAGAACCCGGCAGGCAGCCGCCGAAACTGCCTGGCCAGGGACCAGCCCTCAGCCCCGGAGGTGAGTCATCCGATAATCGAGTCCTCTACACTCCTTGCATTCGAGAAATGTTCGAACGCTAACGATTGTTTTCTTATTCAGCTGCTAGACCAGCGTCTCCCGGTACCGGGCCGAAGGCACCAGCTCCACAGCCGCAACCAGCAGGTACGAGCTACCGTGTAGTTCTGTCGAACATTTGTAAATTCAAACTCTGTTCCAGCTGTGAATCCAACTCCAGCGCCGCGACCTCAACCTCAACCCCAACCTCAGCAGCCTCAACCGCAGAAACCTCAACCACCATCGCCAGGTACGAGCGTGGTTTTCAAGTAGCTTGAATGCAAATTCACAGAGTAAGAGGAACTCCGTCTTGTTACAGGTTCGCGACCTTCTTCCGTTCCCGGAAGCCCAATATCCACGCCGCCAGGTGAAGAACGTTCTTTCCTTGAGAAGCTTCTTCTCGAGAAGCGCTTTCGAGTAACGTAACCGAATCTTTCTACTTTCGTTTTAAGGATCACCCACCTCGAGACCAGGTACGCCGCCAGCAGTACAGCCGGCACGGCCGACCAATCAACCCGGAGGCGGAGACAATTACGTGTCCACGTTGCACGTGGGTCCCCTGAGGCCCAGCAGCACTCCGCCACCTGCCAGACCAGCGAGTCCTGGTTCTCCAGGAAGAACATGGGCGGACGTTGCCTCTGGTGGTAGCAGACCCAACTCTCCGATTCCTTCCCCGACACCAGGTGTGTCAGAAAGCCGAAACGAATGACTCGTCACACTCGATGTTAACCTTTTGCTGTCCGAAGTGCTCTTGGTTTCTCACTTTGAGGTTCACGCTAGCAACAGATCAGACGGTTTCCGATATTTCACAGGGCAGACGCAACCTAGACCCCAATCGCCCAGCTACCCCGGACAAACCAGGCCCTCCACCGGTGCGATAGCAGGCGGAGCGCTAGCAGGTGGAGCGCTAGCAGGAGGCGCGCTGGCCGGCGCAGCCGCGGCAGGAGCGGCAAGTTCGTCGAACAAAGTCTACTCGAGCAATCCCACCTACAGCAAGGGCAACGGCATCACGGACGAGGACTTGGAGAAGCTCTCCGAGGCTCTGTTCATCAAGGACAACAACAACGCGAACAAATACATAACGGTGAACCTGCAGAAGCAGACGACCAGCGCCAGCACGAGCGACGACGCGTCTCAGCCGTGAGTCTCGACGATCCGGCAACCGAGAATTCCATGTGTACGCTTGTTCTCCTCGTTGCAGATTGTTCACGGTGAGCCCGGACGCCTACCAAGGCACCACGGTCCAGAGAGTGATCTCGATCTACGACAACTACCAGCCGGACACGAACGTGAACGAGCACATCAGCCCGTTGCAGAGGCAGGAGGAAAGCCTGCTGGTCGACACGTTCCTGAGCACCAACGTGATGTCGGCGGCGATGAGGTTCCTCGCCGACAAGGAGCGCATTCGGAAGGATTACTACGAGTACAAGGAGTCCTTGAGGAAGATCTGGTTCAACCTGTTCTCGCGTGGCCAAGGGAAGATCGGCAGCTCGGGATTCGAGCACGTGTTCATGGCGGAGTTGAAGAACGCTGCCACTGGCACCGAGGTGGTCGGCCTGCACAACTGGATCTACTACAGCAAGGAGGAGGCCAGCGGAAAGGCCGACTACAACGGATACTTGAAGAAAGTCGACTTGGGAGATGTAAGATTCAATAGTTCAATTCAACCTAGGAGGACTCCGGAAAACTTCGGTCGTTCGATAACGAGTACCGTTTTGTTTTTCAGAAAGCCTCGATCGTGAAGATAAGAACGAAGTACAACGGGCACGACAAGCCCGTGACGACCATATTCGTGGGTACGTCGCCGGAGCTGGAAATGGCGTTGTACACGGTCTGCTTCTACGCGCGGCCGGACGGCAATTGTCCCGTATCGCTCGGAGGGACGAAGTTCAATATCGTCACGCATAAATTTAGGTACAGAGGCAACGACCTCGTGGGAACAGCGTACCCCGAGATATAAGCTCTATGTTCATTCACGGACGGCTCCTAACTCCGCCACCGTTCGAATAAAACGATGCAAGACCTCTTGGTTCCTTATCTATACCTATCGGTCGAGTATTACGTTCAGCCGGGAGCAACGGTTCAACCAAACTGATTCCCTTTATCTCTAATTACGCCTGTATGGGTGGCCGATAAGAGAGTCTCTCGATTGACAATGTAACGAATCAAGCCGACTGTGTCTCTCCGCTTCGCGTTGTACCGCATGTTCGCAAATATGGAAATAACATCTGCATTGAAGCTTGCACAGCGATTCTTGGAACGATCGCGAATAAAATATATCCAGATATTTCTCCCTTCCTGAACGTTCGTCAGCCGAGCCTTCGACGAGCGGTGCAAAGAGAATCCCTGTTAATGATCTGGTGCTCGTGCAACGTTGGCCCGCGATGCTTTCTATTGGCCAAGCAATCTCGAGTAAACAGATAACGACGGATAAATAAGATCTGCGAGTAGAGGGGATGGGAGACGAGGAGCCGCGGCGCCGAGACACGCGCGCTCAGTCGATCCGTACTTTCTGCGAGCGGAATGCACGCGATTCCACGATACGCTCCGCATTTTCGGCGGATAAGCGGTCTTCCTAATACAGGATGTTCCATTTACCGACCGACCGTTTCCTCCCGCACTTATCGTAGCGAACAGGGCGTCTACGGGTACAGGCCGAAGGCGACGCGGCAATTCGAAGGTATCTCCGCGCAATATTATTCGGATTAACGCGAGAAAAATGAAATCGAATAACTATAAACGAAATAATAAGCACAAAGACCCGTTGACTCGTACGTTCCGAGTACTTTCTCGTGAACCGTACTTGCAACGCGTATATCGGACGCGACACGCATTCGCGCGCGACCAGCTACGTTTGACGGAGCTAATCGTTTCCCGCGCGATGCTCGCACGGCAACCATCGCGTCTCTTATGTAAACGTTTTCAAACGGAGCCGAGAAACTCCGGATTTTCTCTGATAATTCGTTCTTACCTCGCCAGAAGCTTCAGCACGAGGCGCGCGCGCCTCCGCCGAGAGGAGTCATCTTGGTATCCCAACGGTCTCGGCACTTCCGACACGCGAAAACGATATAAAACTTGGAATCCAACGGAAACACTTGCACCCACTGATCCGTCACGCGCAACTGCTCCGTCCGCGATTCCTGGTTATTCTCGCACGCGGCGGCGTCGCGCGCATGCACCGATTCGAACCGCGAACTGTTAATCACCTGCGAAATAAACACGATAAAGCGTCCACGCGCGGATCGTCGCTTAAAATCGAATTGCGAGACGCGCGCGAATCTGTCAAATAAATGCAATGGAAAAGTACTCGACTCGAGTGGTTTCCATAATTGTCGAGCACTTTTCCTTTACTTTTTCCTAGCGACTTCTCAACGCGATGCTTTCTTCTGAACGTCGAATTCACGTGTTTTCGTAACATAAGCCCATCTTAATCCGTATAATCTAGATACGACTGCCGTTATCGGTCGATAGAGCGAAAAGTATTTTCGCTACCGAGGAGGAAGATGCGGCCCGCTGATGCGACATCGCGATAACGAATAATATACGCCTTCTGAACAGCTCGTAGCTGCAGTAAATGATATTTCTGTCGCGAAGAAAACCATCTGTTCCTCTCCTATGCGCAGTCCCTAAGCAGTACCTGGAGGCGCGAGCGAAGAACAGCAATTTCTACAGATTAGTCGCCGCGTACAGGGAATTCGGTCACAAGCAGGCTGACGTAAATCCTATATCTCTGGAAAAGCCGAGTCCACTGTCGGAACTGAATCCGGAGAGATTCGGGTTACGTCTGACGGACAGAGTTTCCTTCGATGGAATCCTGTCGACGAATCGGAAGGAAGGAACGGTGGAGGAAGCCTTGGCGTTCTTGAGAAGCACGTACAGCGGGACTGTCGCTTTCGAATTCGGCTACTTAGAGGTATCGAAACGTTACTGTTTCGTCGTGTCTTTCGTCAACGAACTGATCATTCGAATTACCGTGCGCACAGTCCGAGGAAGAGAGAGAATGGTTCGCGGAAGCAGCAGAGAAATGCACGGCCGATCCGTTGACGGACGAAACGCGGCTGGCCGTCGCGAGGGAGATGCTGAAGAGCCAGGCTTTCGACAATTTCCTGGCCGTCAAGTTCGTCAGCTTGAAAAGATACGGGGGCGAAGGCGCCGAGGCTATGATGGCCTTCTTCCACGAGTTCTTCAAACTGTCCGCAGATGGTAATCGAAGACGCGACGGGATTTCCGAGTATCGAGCGGGCGTTTGACATCCGACGATTTTTCAGAGGGGTTGACGTACATCGTTCTCTGTATGCCACACCGTGGTAGATTGAACCTCCTTACCGGTATGCTGAACTTCCCGCCGGAGAAGCTGTTCCGGAAGCTCCGCGGGTTCTCCGAGTTCCCGGACGGAGTGAAAGCGACGGGCGACGTGATCAGTCACTTGGTGTCCTCCACCGACCTCGCTATCGATGGTAAGAACGTTCACGTGACGATGCTGCGGAATCCGTCTCACCTGGAGGCCGTGAATCCCGTCTCCATGGGGAAAACGCGGGGGATAATGCAGGCTGTCAAAGAAGGAGCGTACGGTGAAGGAAGAGACGCTTGGTGGAGCGACAAAGTGTTGAATGTTCAAGTAAACGTTGGATCGTAATGCGATTACGTTCGGAAATCGATGACGGGAGAATAATTGGAACGTAATCCTACGTGTTATGCCAGGTACACGGGGACGCCAGCTTCGCCGGGCAAGGTGTGAGCCAAGAGTGTCTGGCTCTGTCCGGTGCTCCGCACTTCGAAATTGGCGGGACGGTTCACCTGGTCGTTAACAATCAGCTGGGTTTCACCACGCCAGCCTCCAGGGGAAGGTCGTCGAGGTACTGCACGGACCTGGCGAAGATGATCGCCGCTCCGGTAATTCACGTGAACGGAGATGACCCTGAAGTGTGTACGACTTATGTTGATGAGTTGCCTTTATGAATCAGTGAGTTATTAAATTGTCCAAATACTCTAGATGGTCGTTAGAGCTACTAGACTCGCCTTCCAGTACCAAAGGAGGTTCAGGAAAGATGTATTCGTTGATCTGAATTGTTTTAGAAGATGGGGTCACAACGAATTAGACGATCCATCGTTTACGAACCCCCTTCTTTATCAAATTATACAGAATCGCCCGTAGGTGTTTCTTTCGCCGTTTCTTTCACCGAGAAAGGAAAATAGCTAAAGCTACTTTGGCTCTTCCGTAGATCAATACCGGATCGTTACGTAAGTAGACTGGTGGAATCGAACGTTTTCACCGTGGAGAAAGCTAAGAGCACCGCCGACAGTCATACTGCCTGGTTGAATCAGTCTCTGAAACAAGTGGACTGTTACGTTCCGCAGCCTACTTACTTTACGAGCTTGTGGACGGGAATGCGACAGGCCGATGCCACTTTGACTCACTGGGATACGGGGGTTGACCTAAACCTACTGAAATTCATCGGTGGAAAGAGCGTCCATGTCGATGACGATGATCTGGTGAGGATGCGCTCTATGTTGACCCTGCGATGCAACACAAATGTATACTGTTCTACCGGCTTAATTCAGAGTACGATTCACCGTGCAGGCCATTCACCCGCAATTAGCGAAGAGTCACGTTGAATCGAGGTTGAAGAAAGTGACCAACGACGACTCTTTGGACTGGGCAACCGGTGAAGCATTGGCTATCGGTAGCCTATTGTATCAGGGCTATAATGTCAGAATCAGTGGGCAAGACGTGGGTCGAGGGACATTTTCTCACAGGCACGCTATGCTTGTCGATCAGTCGACGGGGAGTGAGTAAATGAATTGATCTCCCAAATCGATAGAATTGTTCGGTTCATTGGTTATATTTCTAGACATACGAATACCTTTGAACTCGATGACCGAGGGTCAGACGGGAAAGTTGGAGTTGGCTAACAGCATTCTATCGGAGGAAGCGGTGCTCGGTTACGAATATGGAATGAGTATCGCGCTACCGACAACTCTGACCATTTGGGAGGCACAGTTCGGAGATTTCTTCAATGGGGCTCAGATCATCATCGATACCTTCGTGACCAGCGGCGAAACAAAATGGATGTTAAACAGCGGTCTGATTCTCCTGCTGCCTCACGGCTACGACGGCGCTGGTCCTGAACACAGCTCGTCTAGAATAGAAAGGTTCCTACAGCTGACGGACAGCAAAGAGGACAAACCGGATGGAGACGACGTAAATGTGCACGTCGCAAACCCCACAACCCCAGCACAATACTTCCATTTACTGAGGAGACAAGTATGAGTATCATTCTTGCCTTCTGAGTAGCTTATCGTGCATGTACGCGTTTTCTATTCTAGATGGTCAGAGATTTCCGAAAACCTTTAATTATAGTGACTCCGAAAACACTGCTACGGCATAAAGCTGCGACATCGTTGTTACGGGACATGGGACCGCAAACCAAGTTCGTCAACGTTATAGGTATGCGGTACTGAAACAAAATTGTTGTATAACCGTTTCGTTCTAATAATATAGCACAACCTCCCGCAGGGGACGAGAAAGTGGCGAAAGCAGACGTGAATAAAGTAATCCTGGTTAGTGGAAAACACTTTTATGCTCTGGATAATTATAGAGATTCCACAGGACAGAAGAATGTTGCCATCGTTAGGCTGGAAAGCTTGTGTCCTTTCCCAGTTCATGAATTATTGGAAGAGATTAATGGATATGTCAATGCTAAGAGTAAGTGTATGGGAACTGTGTCCCTATTAAATGGAAAGATATCAGTAAAAATGTCTTTTTAGCGTTCATTTGGAGTCAAGAAGAACCGCGAAATATGGGGTTCTGGAGCTTCGTGAAACCTCGTTTCGAAAATTTATGTGGTAGACGCGTAAGTAACGGAAGTATTTTGTTGAATAAGAATTTCACTGACCCTGTGTAAAGTGAAAATTGTAATCCGCAGTTACAGTACTGCGGGCGTAGATCTATGCCTGCTCCAGCTGTCGGTGAAGGGCAAGTGCATCAGCAGGAAGCTCAGGACGTTATTAGTAAACCTTTCGCTGTGAAATGATTTAAACGTGAAACATACGAAATATACTCTTCGGAAGTTCATTATATTCTATTTTATTTGTACACGTGAGTCAACTGTCATAATCACATTCGAGAAAGATATTGGACATTAAGACACATATTAGAAATTACATTTTTATCACTAATAATTTCATTACCACTTTCATTTTCTAGGAAACTCGGTAAAGCAGATATAAGCAAAAGCATATCTATTTGCCATTATTACGATAAATTTTTTAATTACCTAAACGACATTTTTACAATTACTTTAAAACAAACACTGTTTGTCTAAATAGCTTCTTCTTTATAAAAATAGCGACGAAATAAAATATCAATTGTATTAATGAGGAGAATTACCTTACAAGATTGCTAACTAGTAACATAGTTATTCTGTTTTAGCATTTTCAGCTTCCAACCTTTCATGTTCTCTCTTTATAAGGTCTCTCAATTCGTCCTGAAAAGAGGTAGATTTTAATGAAAGGGTTTTCGTTGATTTTCGAATAAAATGAAAAAGTAATTTTCAAAGAGAAACGTACTCCCCAACCCATTTTTTCTGCTAACAATTCGCTACCGGTATCGCAGTCGCCTAACCAGGCAACATCACGTCCACCGTGAGAACCTTTTGTGTCAAACATTAAACCCTGACGCAGTCCTAGAAGTCGCGACAGACGATCCTGCGTGCCGACTTTTTCTTTATTGATAAGTAAACGTGGACAGTTAGGTCGCACTCTTGAACCGTAAAAAATGGAAATGTAAATCGAGGTTCTTAAATTAATGCTTAATCGCTTCTTGTTATGTAATGGTGTACCTGTCCACCAAGGATGCAAATGGTTGAACAACCAAACTTGAACCCATAATTATCAATAAATCTGCCTTTGTAAAATCCTGGTCAGTTAGATGATGAAAACGTTCAGGTAGCACTTCTCCAAAGAACACTATATCAGGCTTTACTACACCTTCTTTGCATTCATCGCATTTCGGTATAATACCTTCAACAATTTTCTCTGAAAGTAAATTTTCAGTGTCAAGAAACGTTTACAATTACGATTAATACAAAGACACAAGATTTAAAATAATTACTTTTCATCCATGGAAGAGTATACGGTGCTCTACACTTAAGACACCGTCCAGTATGAAATGTTCCGTGTGCTTCAACCAGTTTCTCAGAAGGCAAACCAGCAATTCTTTCTAATGTATCAATATTTTGTGTATAGTGCCTTAAGAGTAATCCTTTTTCCCACAGAAGTCTTATAAAATAGTGACAGGGTGTAGGTTTGAAGCCTTCAGGTAACAATTCTCTTGCAAGCATAAAGAAGGGCTCTGGGTTCTGCGTAAAGAAATCTAATTCAAAAATAGCTTGAGGATGAGGCAAGTTGTATTTTTCTAAATTATGATAAAGTCCACTGGATGGTGATCGAAAATCTGGAATTCCTGCAGCTGTAAATGTTCAAAGAATTCTATAGTTAGTTAAATATCCTTATATGATTGTAGCACAAAATAAGTGACACTTACATGTGGAAATACCAGCACCAGCCATTGTAATAATTTTAAGGTTTTCATTTTCCTTCATATATTCTACTATTCCATCTAAACTAAGGTCACGAAGAACTTTCTGTTGCGACTGTCCATCATAATCTGACGAGTCGAAAATCCTTAACATGTGCCCCAAGTATTTGCGAATCTTTTCCATATCGGTGTCTTCTACCTCTTCTTGCTCTGAAGAATTGTTTGTCGCCTCCTCATCTGATTTCTTCTCTAAGTTCAATTTAAAAAATAATGTTTAGCAATATTATTATTATATTATTTTAAAAATGTTTGTAATGAGATGACTCATTAATGTTTTTAATTGTCACTAGTATAATCATCAAAAATGTTCAGTCTGCATCAGCTCAAAAAATGAAATAAGAAAGAAGATATAAATAAATAATTTAAATGAAGGGGATACTTTACTGACTTAAATAAAAGTACGTGTTCAAATGCTTTTGCCAGAATTGTTGAATAAAGAAAGTTCGCAAATGCCTGCCTAAAGGAAATGCGGTTTTCGAAAACATTGGCTGCTGTAAACAGACGTCGAAATTTTATAACATACTCCACTGAATTCATACACGTGACTCGATAATTACCTGAAAATTCTTCTTTATTCGTAAATTTTACTGCTCAGAAAATTAAAACGTGAATATCCTCGAATAGCATCCCGATATCACAAATTCATCTAATTATTTTATTCAATTAATAAAACTGCGTACTTTCATGGATGACAGATAACCTCTACAAGAATCATTTTCGTGCATTAACGTGAATAAATATATATGACGCAAATCGAAACTGCAACATCTTTAAAAGATATCAGAAGTAATATAAGTAACGATGTATATAATTTAATATTTGACGAGAAACTGATATTCTGTGTCACGAAAGTATGATCGTAAATACCTTGTCGATGAGTTTTACACGAAAATTTATGAAATAAAAGAGAAAAGGCATTATCATTTCAAATTATAATAGAAGTACTATGGTGCAGATAACGTCAATAAAAAAATCTAATTCTATCATTATAGTTAACGACGGGTCAAACACATTACCATTTTCTGTATCATCGTTGCGCTCGGACATGTTCTCAACCTGCAATTATTTCTTTGAACAGTTTCAACGATACCTTGTGTGATAATTATGAACGAAGTACTACAATAAGAATTGACTAATGACGTTTTTAAACGTACAAAGAAAACTATTTATCTGACAACTAACTTACCACGCTCGATAAATTATGAATCAAGTCAACGTTCTATGCAAATAGTAAATATACCCTATGTACCTTGATCTTTGTAACACTTACGATATTTTAAATGCGCATAAATACATTAAATTACTTTCTTCCGTTTTAATAAATTTAAAGCAAAGAAACAGATTGTAAAATCTTTAGTTTGATTACTTGTTTGATGATATCTGGAGCTTTATTTCTTCATCAGAAGCTATTTAATGATAGGTTACAAGTTCGTGGAGTGGGGGGGACACGTGTTTTATTTTCGGAAATTTAAAAATTATGTTTGAGTAAATTATAAGTAAACAGTTTGATTCAAGAACGAAAAGAATAAATGAAACTTGAGTTGTATAAACTTGAATATTTATTATTAACATAAGATATATACATATCATTAATGCGAAGAAGAAATTCACTTATATTAGTGAGCTTTTTTGAGTGAATCTTTCCCCAAAATTTTACGTCTTTGTGAAAACATATGGAGATATAATTGTGGGAAAACTGTAAAAAAAGAACAGTAATCAGATAACTGCACTATTGTATTGGTATTATAATGATAAATATAGGATTCTGGAAACTTACTGGGAATATATGTTAACATAACAATGATGAGCAAATATAAATAACTAAATGCAAAATTCCAAGAGTTGGGAAGCAAATAACTCCAAGCTTCTGGATGAGAATATGCATATTGTGTTGCTGCATATGTACATAATAATTCCCCTGATACACCAATCGGATATAATACAATAAATAATGTATACCTGTAAATTAAGATATTACATTTGAAATTTCAATAATCTCTAGATAACTGCACAATTTTAATACAATCTTTTTAATACCATACCTTAACCATGTAAGCAAATATGGTACATATTCATTGAGATTCATGAAGTAATACAAGTATCTGATTATTTCTGTTATTGACCATGCTAATAATGCAAATGGCACACCAATGGATGATGCAGCATAACTGCTCGGAGTAGCCAGTAATACACCATCCACTAACATAATTCTACTCAAAACTTGGAAGATTGTAAGTGCGGGATTTGATGTAACTAATCCTACTACCGCATGTAGTATCTATAAAAAGAAAGGAAAAGGTGAATTTTATTTATTTCACTCTGAAGTCAAAGTACAAGTGACTTCTTACCTCCAAGAAAGCTGCATGTTGAAAGATTATAACAGGCCACTTGAGGTTCTGCCATAAATTGTCTTCAACGGGCGAAGAAAAATCATTTTGCAAAAACTTGAGAAGTATGTATGACCACCTATAAATGTATTTTATTTCGTAAATGTCACATGTAACACACACACACACACACACACATACACACATTTCTCTCAATTATAACATTAAATGAGTGTTTTTGTTTATAATTTACACTTACCCAAAAACTAGCGTGAGATTATAAGTTTTCAAATAGAGTACTCCAACAGAACTAGATTTCTTTGATTTCATATTTCTGTCTTAATTAATTCCCTGAGATGACAATGTAAAATTCCGATAGACACTTCTTATGAACGAAAAGCTTTTATCCTCATAGTCTCCCAAACTTGCGATGATAAGACTGGAGAAATCATATGCGGCACGCTATATGTACTACTTACAGTGCAGGGCTGTCCAGTAAACCTTCTCGCGGGCAAAATGAGTGTCGGTGTGACCATGGTCAATGGTGGGGACACGAACCCGCGAGTAGCCTGTCTACGGGGTGGGAGAAATGGACTGGTGTTAGTGGGATCCGTTTTTGCGCGCGCTTGACCGCGTGTGGTCAACCAGCCATTACTACACACAAAAGTGTCATACGAGAGGCCCGGTTGCTCACGGATATGGCCCATGGCGCCATACGTGGGCCGCGCGGGCCACCTGCTGGACAGCCCTGTAGAATTTACAGGAACGTACCACTCGTCTGTTGGGGCACTTGGCGGCAAAACATTTTTTTCGGTACAAATTAAAATTCCATCACATTTTCGAAGAGTGAGTTTTATTTTTACATTTTATATTTATCGTTTTATTGAAAGATATAATCGTTAGTGATCTATTCGACGTAGATATCATTAACTAAGTACTTACCTATCGTGCGCTATTTAAAAGACGCCTCGCGGGAAGGTACAGGGGAAAGAGGGGTCTTTCGCTGTGTGTGTCGCGTGACATGACGGAATTAGATATGCAACTTCTTCGACCAATCACACAGCAGAGCTACAAACATATTAGATTTTGACCACTCAGACCCGCATTCCTTGTACCGGTCGTCTTTCAAACAATGGGCTGTACTTACCTTGAACTTTCTTGATGATTCGTTCGTCAAACTAGTTTGAAAGATAAATAACAGTAAAAAAAAACAAACAAAAGAAAATAATCACGGAACCTACATGAATTTGAATATTGATAGTCATCCTTATGACTGAAGTGTTAAGAGGAATGAATGGAAAATTGTATTTAATCTTGTCTAATTATATATCACAACAGCGATGTATGATACACGTGTGAGCCGTTAATGTTCACTTTACACAAACTTTTTACTATGTACGTACTTGATTATCTGGATCAAAGTTCAACATGCATGTCGATACATGGATGATTCCTCGTAATGTTAAAGACCCTGAAACTGTTAGATATTTCGTAGTTACTCAACAGGTCTGGAAAGTAGATTTAGCTAAATCCGAATAGAATTTAATGGAGCTGCGATTAAAAAATATTTAGCTGTATGGAAAGTTACGAATATTATGTAGAATAATTGATATAAGACAGTAATATTGCATTGTAATAAAATGAATCGTAAAAGTCGTGAAGAAGTGAAGATTTCTCGAGTTTATGTAACTTTTATATGTATATAATATGGATAATAGGAACAATATATAATCATTAAATGATCGAGAATCAATTTTAAAAAAAAAAATCTCGATTATATCAAATCGATAACCGTAATCGAGACTTATCAAGATATTACACTGAATGAAATAAGTTATAGTAACAGTTTATATGTCGTCATAATTGAAACATTTACAAAGGGTTAGTAAAATCTTTGTGTCATTTGTTGCAAATTTTTTTCATAAAATTATTAAACTCCAATGATTTATGGATATAGATCATATTATCATGTTATTACCATTCAATGCCCATTGTTGTAACATTTCAGTTTCGGAAATAAACGATCTGGCTATATTCGAATGTTTTGCAGTTACGAAAATGCAGTGGACAAATTTTCAAGGATTTCTTGGAAAATTAAGAAGGTTTGATTCGTCGATTAATCGTCGATTAAGTAACAGATATGGCAAATTCGTATACGGGCACGACGTAGAAGCGGCCAAAAAAAATGGTCAACCAATTGTTGCCCTAGAATCTACTATCATTACCCATGGGATGCCTTATCCTGATAATTTAAAAACAGCTATCAAAGTTGAGAATGCTGTTAGATCAAAAGTAAATGATTTTAATTTATAACAAATTTATAGTGACATCAAAGATTTCTGAAACTAGACATTTATATGTTTTTTTAAGGGTGCTATGCCAGCAACCATAGCAGTTTTGAAAGGGCAGGTACACGTTGGATTGAATCAAGAGCAATTAGAAGTTTTAGCTCAACCAAATTCTATAGATACTGTTAAATGTTCGCGCAGAGACATATCTTTCATTTCCTCACAAAAACTCAATGGAGGAACAACTGTTAGCGCTACCATGTTGTTGGCACATTTATCAAATATTCCCATAATGGCAACAGGAGGAATCGGTGGTGTTCACCGTGAGGCAGAATCAACATTTGATATTAGTACAGACTTATTGGAACTTGGACGTACTCCTGTGGCTGTTGTTTGCTCAGGCGTTAAATCCATTTTGGATATTGAAAAAACATTAGAATATCTGGTCAGTATATCTTCTTACAAAACAGCTTGGTTTTATTATAGCAAAAGTTTTATATCCAGTTATATTCCCTTATAGGAAACACAAGGAGTCCCTGTTATAAAGATTGGTGAAACAGATCTCTTTCCGGCATTTTACTGTAGAGAAACATTTCAAAATACAAAAGTATCGCATAAAGTGTCTACACCGAAAGAAGCAGCAGATGTTCTGAAGACTCAAATAGAATTAGGTCTTCGAACAGGATTATTGTTTGCTATTCCCATTCCTGAAAAGTATGCATTGGACACAAAGGAAATGGAATCAGCTATAAACAAAGCTCTGGAAGCTGCAAAACGCGAAGGCATAACTGGAAAGAATGTAACTCCATTCTTGTTAGAAGAACTAAATAAAATTACACAGGGTCAATCTCTTCGAGCCAGTAAGTGTAAGCAAACGCGATATTCGCGATGGAAAATTAAAAGAAATGTATATAATCAGCATTCCTTTATCAGACATGGCACTCATAGAAAATAATGCAAACGTGGCAGCAGAGATAGCCATAAATCTCACAACAAGGCATCAATTTTACACCAACGACTCTGTATCCGGTTGTTGTCTAACAGCGAAACAAAATCCGGTAAGTTCAAGCATAGCAAGAGTACACATGAAAACTGTTATTATCTACTAATCGTGCAATTAATATAGGTGGTGATTGGAGGGGCTATAATGGATACTACCCTGCAAGTGAAGGAATCCGAGATAAGAGTAAGTGAAAAGCTTTAAGTCAGAATTATACTAAATAACCAATTTTTCCTTGTATTCATATTTCAGAGGATTAATAGAACGTTTAACAGTATGTACATACAGTTACGACCACATAGGTTTTATGTACATTTAAGAATATTGAATAACATGAACTCATAGTATAGTATGGGGAAGAGTGGCATGATGTAACGGTAGTAGAACACAAGAAAAGTCAATGCGATTAGTGTCGGAATCTATAGTTAGGAAATACTAAATCGAAGAAACGCAAGGGCAAATCGGTTCGGAAATAATTGTCCCACTGAACGGATCTTTTAGACTGAAACATATCTGTAGGGAATTCCGCTATAAGTAAAACTCGAGATAAGCGTGTTTCGTTGTGCACGAGGATACGTAATCACTAAACGTAACGAACGTATTTCATTACAACACTTTTTCCCATACTTGTCTACGGTAGTCCTATAGAATTTAGCGTGTACGAAACAACGTACGGTACCATGTCTAACCATTTACAGATACAGTAAATCGGGTTGTTCATGTATTTTTTTTTTGTTTCTTTAAGCAGGCACTATTCAAAGCTCCCTCTCGTCCATTCTTTTCGGTATTACATACGGTGTTACATTTAAATATCAATCAGTTACAAATTTACTACACATTTGAACCTTTTAAAGCTTTCCTCGATTATGGGGGTCGTATAATTGTCAGGATACATCTGTGAGTGAAACATAGAGATAGGAAGTCTTCCGTTCGCTATAATTATACGACGCAAGGATTCGACGAACAACCATCTGAACAAACGAACAAATGTAAAGAAAGGAAATCCATAATAGAATGAAAACGGTGTAATATATATATATATATATATATCCCGTTGCAGACGAAAGTCAGCAGCTTAAGGTCTAATCGAAAAGGTGGCGTATAGACTGTTCGGTTCTGGTCGGCTTGCGGTAACGGTACGGCCGTTGCCATCTAAAATGATCAGTTGAAAATCAATGTACGCTAACTCTCGTTATACATATAATGTCCCTTATATACATTTAGTGGCGGAGGCTGTATGTCTGCGAGGTGTAAGCTTCCATATAATTATTTTAGCTTAGTACATTCAACGATAACTCGATGGCCTGATTAAGAAAGAACCCTTTTAGCTACTCCGAACGACGGCTCCACCGCGAACGATACAGAAGTTCCGTGGCTGGATGAATACCGTGAATCATCGACGGATCCGATAAAAACAAGGGGACCGGTAAAACGAGTCGGAACGTGCAAACAAGACCGAACGTTGAAACAATGGGATGTCTCCGGTAATCGAACGCGTCTCAATGTACGATGTGCTAATGATACCCTGTTGTCCAGACTGATATTAATTAAACGTCCGTTTCGCGTTACGCTAGGGCGACAGGACCAAACAAAGAACATTCTCGGCTTTTACGGCTTTTACGGCTTTTACGGCTTTTACGTTTACGGCTTTTTTCTTAAGCAGACGATCGACGGCTTAACTTGTACTCTACCATACACCGCTATATACAGTCTACTGATACAGTGTGTCCATTATCATTGCGTTGGTAAAACGTATAATCCTATAGACTCGATTAATCCTAGCTAGGAAGCCAATTACTTTGAGTATCGTATCTCGTATTTATACGACTTACAGCACAGATCAATACAGACTACTCGCGCTGCGTGTATCCGTTTATATAAAAAGAACTATTTCAGAATTTTCCTTACCCTCCTTTCTTTTTTTTCTTTTTTTTCTTTTTTCTTTTCTTTTCTCTTTCTTCTTTAATACGTACGTATCTGTTTCTTTTTCTTGGCGACATACAAAAGTGTCGGACCGCCGCGCTCTACCTGTCCTTTGCGAATTCAAGGGAATTTGTATGACGCTACGAGTAAAATTAACACTGTAACCCGTCGTCTATCGAATCTAGTTGGTTTCCAGAGTTTGATTTGTTCGAGAGGAGGGTACCGTGGCCAGACACTTTTACCGTCTTCTCTCTGTTCGACGCATTTTCGACACAGACTTTCGACGCGAAAGAAAAAGAACGGGTTTCCTTGTTTTGGCAGCGGTATACCACAGTGGCGATTCGTAACTATCGTTTTTCGAGATCCTTGTCGCGTGTTTTCCCGTTTAGCCGGTTAATTAGGACGATTATCCTCGTAACATCGTAAGCGGCCGGGCGGGGAGGGAAATGCTCGCGTGATGACGAACGATTAACCTTTTGATGTATCTTCTCGATATCGTTCGCGAAGGTTTCATCGCGAAGCGGCGCGTGTATAAATAACGGCTTGACTTTGTCGCGGTGCGAGCGTAAACGTTCCAACGGAAACTAGAACGCTGCGAGTTTTTCCTTTCACGGTTCCAATCGCGTCTGCGATTCGACGACGGTGCCGTTAAAGTTGCAATACCCTTATTTTCCAACCGATTAGGTCTTACGTTTTCGTACCTCCGATATCCAATGGCTTATTGGGAACGTTAACCGGTCGCGTGTCTCTAGAGACTTCCGCTCGGTCAGGTTTTCATTAACAGATTCGGATTTTGAGCAGCGACGGATCGTTACAGGATGAATATGTTCAAAGAAATTGTCTATTCATTGGCAACGAGCGTTGGCAAATCGAAAAATTCGCTGATCGTTGCTCGAGGACTCCGGTTTCCAATGTTCGAGTTTCAGATTTCGCTTGGTTGTTCTCCGTAGTCGATCGCGGCGAAGGAATGGGTCGTCCACCGTAGACGGTGCTCCAAAAATAACTGGCCAACGCGTTCGGATGATCCAGGATGAAACAGGTAAATCGATTAAAAGGCTATTCGATCGAAACGTGCGAGATTCTCTGAAGCGATTTCTGTTGTTATTGTCGGATACCACCGTGACTGGGGCGGACGTTTATTTTCGTTGGTTTTCAGGTGGAAAAACAGCGAGAGTTGGCCACGTATTCTTGGATCGCCGTGTACAGAGGACGGATCGGCGGACGTTCGGGTGAATATCTGTCCCCGTATCTTCGGTTTAATCAAACTTTACTCGAACGATGCCCGACACCGGCGCACGGTTTATCTGATCGGCAACGATAGTCACGTCGCGCTGTGACACACTAGTCGCGTGACTCGCATGAAAATCAGCATAGAACGGGTTCGAAACGCGTTGGGATCGGGATGGGGCGGAGAGAAACGGAGAGAAAGAGAGACACAGAGTTTGCGTGCGCGGGAAACTTACCGCTAACGACGAATCTAGGAAAGTAATCGACTCCGCCGACCGTGCGCGGACGGAAAGACGTGTAAGGAATACGCGTAGAAAGAGAATTTACGTTTCATTTCGTTCCGTTTCGTTTCGTTTCGTTTCGTTTCGTTTCGTTTCATGCATTTCTTTTTTCTCGTCTGTCGGTTTTCTTTCGTGATCAAGGACCGCGGCATGCGTCCTCGCAGTCTCCTTCGCGGGACCTCGACTTCTCCTGCACTTCCGGCTGGTTCGTGCTCGTTTCTTTTATTCCTCCGTTTCGCCGGTTTCCTCCATTTCGTCCCGTTCGCGTCGATTCGCCCGTTTCACCGGCCGCCGTCGTCGCGCGAGAGGAAATTCACTCGATTCGCCGACGCTCCGGGTCGCGCCGCGCAGACCTTGCACCCGCTGCGAACCGCGTTGCAGGAAAAGTGTACTGTGTGGATGTGGTAAATTGTACGGTCAACTTTACACCTGAAAATATTCGGCAAAGTTTGAATAAGCTCCGGGCGAACCGCGGATCGGCTAATCGCGGGCAGCATGCAAACGAGAGGACTGTGCGCGGTTCCTCGGAACCAGGGGTGGTTCTGATCTGAGCGAATCGATTTCGAGTGGAGAGGGAACACCGTGTGTTACTCCGAAGCTTTCGTGAACAGTTGCTGTTTCGATACACTTTTCCTGCGACGCGCGCAAAGTCCGCCGTTGGTTGCGGGTTGCTCGACGAGGTTTCGAGAGAACGATCAAAAACCGTGGAAACCACCCCTCGTCCGCGGCTCTGTCCTTCTCACCGAAAGAAACGAACGTACAGTATTTTCTACATTTTGATTTGGTCATTCGTTATTTATAGTCCGTCGCGGTATCGACACGTCTGCGTGTGTGCTTGGTCTCGTTTTACCGTGTAGCTCGTTCGGTTCGCTGCAGTCTTCCTTTTTGTTAACGGTGTCCGGGTCCTGGGACAGGAGACCTAATATCTCTCTATCTTGACGCGATATAAATACCTAATAGAAATCCTGTACGCTATCTTCGGAAACGAGATGATCGTTCTACCGGGCGACGCTAACGAAGTGTCCGTCAATCAAAATCGTCGCTCTAAAAATACACCCGAAACGGAGCTACGTAATCGAGTTTCACGAAAATTTCGTCCGGTGTCGTTGAACGGACTTTTAATAGAAGGTTGAAACGGCTCGATGGAAATAAATAGATTTTACCCAGACGAAGAGCAATCGTTCTATGAAAATTCGACGGAAACGCGCGCAGCCCCAGCCTGGAAAGTTCCGCGTTGGCTGTCTTTCTTTCGAACGACCCTTCGAACCGTCCTTCGAAAAATTTTCCTTCTTGGACAAACGTTCCAGACGGGGGACGCTTACGGCGAAGGTACCCTGAAGATCGCGTGTCGCGCTACGGTCCCTAATTCGAGCAGGCTCCTAACGAAAAGAAGGTTCGCGCGTGACGCGAGTTCCTAGCTGTCCGACGGCGTGACTCTAATTAGAATCGAACGGTTGGCGAGTCCAGCCGTGTCCGTTTAATTAACCTCTTAACCGAAAGTAGACGGAACTGAAAGGGGGCGCGTCCAGAGCTGTAGAAAATCTTAGTGCTCGTTCCAAGCTCTCCGGTCCGTGGGCGTGTTCGTTAAGGGGTCTAGGGTTCGTCGCGTTCGCGTTGGCGTTCGCGTTGGCGTTCGCGGCCGACGAATCGGCTGGTTAACAGATTAATCGTTCCCCGTGACGGGTTTTAGGAACATCGATAGCAGGCTGTCCCTCCCATTTTCTACTAGAAAATAATCTATCCTCCGACGATCAA